CTGACAGTCCCGGCGCTTCTTGGCAGATCAGAGAAGCGTTCAGGCTTCAGGTTTGGGGTTTACTTGGGGTTTAGGGTTTTAGGTGTTTGGGGTATAGGGTTGGGGGTTTATGGTTTAGTGATCCCAAACCCCACACCTTCTGCCCCTCATCCCTTCATCCCCTAGCAAGCCCCAAAGCAGAAAACCACACTGCCAATCCTCAAGCTTCAGTGGTAATGTCGTTCCAAGATAATGGTTTAGGGTTTGGGGTTTAGGGTTTAAGGTTTAGGGGTTGGGGTTTAGGGTTGAGGGTTTCGGGGTTTAGGGTTTCGAGGTTTAGGGGTTGAAGGGACAATGCCATTTGAAACCAACCATGACGACAAGAAGGTTGGTAGTGGCGCGCGCAACCACTGGACCACGAGATGATTTAAAAAGACAAGGCTAAGACTCGGGCCGCAGACACAGCCCGAGACGGATTCAGGGCTCAGGGTTGGGGTTTCGGTTTTATTGGGCACTGGATGTTCCAAATTAGCTGACGATCTTGAAGCCCAAGCCATACACTCTAGACCGCGGCCCCACATCCCTGAGTTTGGCATGTTTGGGTGTAATGTCTTTGGATCTACTGCGGCGCAAACACAAACCAAGACGGCCCGCTCTGCGAAGTGAGAAGTGGGCTCTAAAATCATGCAAGCACATCACACTGCTAGACCTTCAAGGGTAAACCCTGAACCCTGATCCCTGGGTTCCAAACCCTAAGCCCTTAAACCCCAAACCCTAAACCCGCCCTAAACTCTAGACTCCACAGCATTCGCGACCAGCTTCCTGTGCCGCAGGATTTGTGATGGTTTCTACCCTCCGTCTGCAGAGCAGCTGGACGAAGCAGACAAGAAGGGAGAAATACCAGTGGTTACACATAGAAGTAAGGCAGTCTCTCTCTCTCTCTCTCTCCCTGTCTCTCTCTCTCTCTCTCTATCTCTCCCTCTCTCTCTCTCTATCTCTCTCTCTCTCTTTCTCTCCCTGTGTCGCTCGTTGCTCTTTGGGTCGCTCGCTATATACATGAAGAAATAACAGAGAGCTATATTCTACATTGTCACAAAGACAAATGGAAGCAAGCAACACTTATTAACGTTTGGTGGCCATGGCTGCGAACATAGCAACACATGAAAACGTGCTTTAACATGCAAATGTGTAGCGAGTTGGGTGCAAACGTGTGTGGATAGATCCAAGGATGCATGCGTGCACCCATGCAGGTGCCAGCAAAACCGTCTGTCTTGGTGCATGCATGTGTTGCGCGGCATTTGTGTGTGTGTGTGTGCTGTGTGTGTGTGTGTGTGTTTTTTTTTTTTGTGTGTGTGTGTGTGTGCGTGTCGGTATGCATGCATGCATGGGTGCCTGCATGTATGTACGTATGACTGCGAGCATGTATGTATGCATGCTTGCCTGTCTGTCTGTCTGTCTGCACGCATGCATGCATGTACGAAGTAATCTGTTCGTACAGGCATACTATGTTACTATGCGTGTACGAAAATATACGCGTACATATGCATGGCTCTGCAACAGGGCGTGAACTGGGTTTGCTGAGAGCAAGTTCATGTTGCATGGTGGATGGACACACTTATGTGTGTGCATTCATCTGTATTCACACATGCAACCATATATACAGGTGTATCTATGTGCTACTGAGGTTCAGTTTTTTCGGTTTAGGGTTGGGGAAGGCTCAGGAAATCGGCGAGCTGAAAACCACTAGAAGAGTTTGGGTATGTTGCGAGTATAAGTAGATATACATACCAAAACCCCTGGTCCGTTTCGTGTTTGCTGTTTGGGCCCTAAACCTGACAGCCTAAATCCAACCCTGGAGCTTATCTCCTCTAAATCTGGCTTTTCGACCAAGAATTTCGCAGTGGCTGTTCCAAACTAGGGTTTGCGGTTTAGTGTTTTTGGGTTTGGTTCCGCTTGAGGTGCCTATTGTATATAAACTGCACATGAAGGCCTGAACCTGAAACTGCAGCTCTGCACCCGGAGCCCTGAGCGCAAAGCACAACGCCCTTGAACCCGAAACCCTAAACCCTAAACCCTAAACCCTAAACCCTAAACCCTAAACCCTAAACCCTAAACCTCGTTCCTACGCCCCAAAGGCAGCTCGAGATCCTTCCGACACTCTGGGCTCCGCAGCAGACGCAGCTGCTGGCCAACTCAGGCCGGAAAGCTTCCAAAAGTCATCGTTTCGCGGTTTGAGAAGCCTTAAGTTATAAGGGTTCCATACGGCCATACGGGTTCCTTTAGATGTTTGTAGTTTAAACGTGTATGCAGAGGAGGGTTTAGGAATCTGGATTTCACAAGCTCCCCTCGTGCATCGAAGCATGAGGCTTAGGCAAAACGCACGGAGGTGTCGAGCTGAAGGACGTGGCCAAGGCGTACAACTGGCTGCTGACACTTGGCTCTCTTCTTGCAACCTCAATACGTTTTTTCCACAGCAATAAGCCCTAAATTCAGGGGTTTAGGGTTTCGATTCCGGAGTTTTTAAGACTCAGGGTATAGGGCTTTCAGATTCTTGTGTTTTGAGCGCTCAGAGCTTATGTCTTCCAAAGCCAAGCCCCGTGCTTTACCGTTTACACATTGCGAGCAAGCCCTAGTCCCTGAATGGGTTTAGGGTTTAGGGTTTATTGTTTAGGGTCTCGGGTTGTCCCTGAAAAATTTTTCCGCAAAGCCGGACACCGAAGCCAGCTCGAAATAGCACGAGGAACGAGCTGTCTCCCATGACGCTGCCACGATTTGGGCCGGTGGCAAGCTCAGCGATGAATGGGTTGATGATCAGCCCTACTCCCCGAAACCTGCAACCGTGACCCCCAAAACCCTAAAACGAAACTATGTGTGATGATGTGCGTGCGGTTAGTCAGACTATCATGAGTCGTGTTTGTTATCAAAATGGTTTTGGGGTGTAGGCTGTACTTTGTGTTGTTGGCCGCAATCTTCGTATCAGTACTGTTCTTTAGAGCGCAACTACTTCACACATTTGATGCTGACGGTTTAGCGTTTAGGGCTTAGGGTTTAGGGTTAGTACATGGGATCCTCATAATCCGAGAATGACGCCGCAACTCATGAAAGAACATGCAAACCCAAAACTTCAGCCTCAATGTTCCCCACAAGCCCTTTTCTAGTTATTCAGGGCCCTGTATTACCCCTAAACCCTAGACCCTATTTTCTAGTTGTTAAGGACATTATAGTCCCCTGGAGCCCTACACCTTATTTTCAGTTCTTAAGGACCCGAAGTGACCCCGAAGCCCTAAACCCTATTTTCGAGTTCTTAAGGACCCTAGAAAGTTACACCCGCCAGATCCCCGAAACCCCTAAACCCCTAAACCCTAAACCCTAAACCCTAAACCCTAAACCCTAAACCCTAAACCCTAAACCCTCTAAGACCAGGTTTGGAAGCGGGAAGCCTCGGCTGCCTGGACCGCACTCCCTGGGGGAAGTTCTCTGAACTAGGGTCCCGGGTTTAGGGTTTAGGGTTTAGGGGTTTAGGGGTTTAGGGTTTAGGGGTTTAGGGTTTAGGATTCCTCTTAGCTCCTTGTCATAAGGTTGCCGTACTATCTTTGGGACCCAAGAAAGGATCCTAATTAAGAGAACGGAGTCTCAAAAGGATTTTGGGTTTAGAGTACATTGAAAAAGGATTCCTAGATGTAGAGGGTTACTATAAGTATCAATAACGTTATCATGAGGATATCGCATAATGCAACTACGCGGACGTGACAGGTTACCATGCGGGCAGTATGGGATTTAGGGTTTATGGGTACTTTTAGTTAGCATCCGAGTCTATCGGGTGTTTATAATAGGGTTCCGTGTTTTTTTAACTCCGACATGTGGGACACTTGGTGGGACTGTAGTGTCAGGGGCTCAGGGGCAGCAGGCAGCACTACTAGCAGCAGACGTAGTGGTTGTCGTATTAGTCAAGGTGGTGGTGGTGGTGGTGGTGGTGGTGGTGGTAGTACTAGTAGTAGTAGTAGTAGTAGTAGTAGTAGTAGTAGTAGTAGTAGTAGTGGTAGTGGTAGTAGTAGGTAGTAGTAGTAGTAGCAGCAGCAGCAGCAGTGGTGGCTATCTCGATGGTTATGTTGGTGGCGTTGGTGATGACTGCGGTGGTGGTGGTGGTGGTGGCGGCGGCGGCGGTGGTACTCATGATGGTGCGGGTGGTGGTGCTGATGGCAATGCAGCATCTGCAGGACGAATAGGAACACCTAGGCGTCATGACGGCTCTGGCCTACTGCAGATGCTAATGAGAGCAGTTTAAGGCGTGATGAAACCGGCTCCACACTCCAATTCCACCAGCCGTCTTCTTGGTCGCACCAGGTCATGGCGGCTCTGAAGCGCTGCGGCGCACAGATTAGCGGGAGCTCGTCGCGGATGCTTGAAGCCAGCCGACAGAACGTCAATGCAGGCCTGCTGATTCGTTGAGTGTGGTTTCGAAGATCTTGGCAATCTTGCATACCTAGCCGACTCCGCTGGTGGTATCATGACAACCCCGCTCCGCAAGCCCTGCAGCGAGTCTTGAACGATTTTCCCACCGCCAGCATCATCCGACATCAACAAAATACGCCCGCACCAGGCATCAAATCACCCATCTTCACACTTTTCACCAGCTTCACCATCTTCATGTTCACCGTCATCTTCGTCTTCATCCTATTTTCACCCTCATCTGTTAGCGTCAGCATCCAGCTTAACGTCGCCGATTGTGCCATCATCGCAAAATGCAATCCTACATGTCAAGCCCTTATCCCCTGAGTCTCCTAAACCCTAAACCCTAAACCCTAAACCCTAAACCCTCCACCTCACACCGAATCCCGAAGCCACCCCCGTCTGCGCCCGAAATCCTAAACTCTGAACCGGCAAACCCTAAACCCCAAACTCTAAACCCCTAGACCCTAAACCCTAAACCCTAAACCCCTAGACCCTAAACCCTAAACTTAACCGGTAGACCCTAAACCTTGAACCCTCTCCCACCACACATCTTTTCAAGCCCGGTAGAGGTGCCCGGATCCTCATCACCAGCTCAGTGGCTGATGCCGAGTCCCTCTCCACTTGTGAGGCCGTGGATAGGATCAGGGTTGAGGGTTTTAGAGTTTCTCGGTTTTAGGGTTGCAGGACGGAGTTGTGGGGTTTAGGGTTTCAGGATTGAGGGTTACGGGTTGAGGGTTTTAGGGTTTCGGGTTTTAGGGTTTAGGGCTTGAGGGTTGTAGGGTTTAGGGCTTGAGGGTTGAGGGTGCATGGTTTCCGGGTCTCAGCGTGCGAGTTTTGCTTTTGCAGCATTTGTTTGTGACCGGATAATATCGTGTTCGCAGACGTGTCTATAATATGTAGGTGTGAATGTATGTAGACGTGTATATTTGGATATACACATATCTATGTATGTATATACATATATAGATGTGTTTGTGTGTGTGTGTGTGTCTGTGTGTGTGTGTGTGTGTTCAAGAGCTGGTATAGTCTTAGCGCCGTACCCTTCAATATCACATGGAGATACGCATATCTAGGTCTCCAAGAATCTAGCCCGAAGGTCTTAAACCCCTGGGTTTAGGGTCTAGGGTTTTAGGGTTTGGGGTTTTAGGGTTTAGGGTTTTAGGGTTTAGTTGTGTGGTTTTAGGGTTTAGGGTTTTGGGGGTTTTAGGGTTGTAGGGTTTAGGGTTTCTGTTTTTTTTTAGGGTTTAGGGTCTAGGTCGTTTTTTGCATTTTAGGGTTTTTTTGGGTATAGGGTTTAGGGAAGCGCCAAGCTTCGGCCCAAAGCACGAAAGGCCTGCCCCCCCCAAGCCTCGAATCCTTAGGCCTTAAGCCATCCTACACCTAAGCTCTGAATCCTAAATCCTCAACTCTATAGACATCCTCAAGTCCAAAAACCGCAAGGTCCAACCCAAAGCGCAACAGGTAAGTTTGGAAGACCAGAACTCTAGTCTCAGGAATCGACTCGGTTGGCATTAAGTCAGGGGTGGAAGGACTTATCAGGGCCCCATGAGTGTGTTGAAAGTCGTTGGCTTTCTGGGTTTAGGGTTTACGGGTATAAGGCTCCCTGAACCCTGAACCCTAAATCCTAAACCCAAACCACTATAAGGTTTCAGATTAAATCTTGTTGAGCTTTTTCAGGCTTGTAGGTTTGGCTGTTTTAGGTGCTGCGGCTTGGGAGGTTTTACGGGCTAAGGGGGGCTTTAGGGGCGTTTAGAGGCCAGGGGTTTCAAGATCCGCCGCTCGAAATCGCAATCCCCACAGCCCAACTCCTAAACCCTAAACCCTAAACCCTATAAGCCCTAAGCCCTATAAGCCCTAAACCCTAAGCCCTAAGCCCTAAACCCTAAACATTTTGGAGCCCTCAGCCCGAACTCAACAGTCTGAAAGCTTCCAGGAGCCCACAAAGCCTAGAAACTCGGAGCAGGAAAGCTCTGAAAAGCCTTAAATTGACAAGCACCTTAAACCCTAAACCCTATAGGGTTTAGGGTTTAGGGTTTAGGGATAAGCCCCAAACCCGAAACCCTGAACCCTAAACCCTAAACTCTCCAAGAAGTACCCCCAAGAGCCTGCTGGGTCCCGGAGGTTTTTCAGAATATCCTGCAGAGTCATCTGCACGTCGAGTGTGCCTGCCTCCGGTTTGTTCTTGGGGATTTAGGGCTTAGGGTTTCGGGTCTAGGGTTTAGGGTTCAGGGTTCTGCAGGCGTTGGGGTTTGGAGTTTGGGATTTGGGGCCTAGGGTTTAGGGTTTGGGATTCTGGGTTTCGGGTTAAGGGTTTTGGATTGGGGATTTGGTGTTTTCGAGCTTTGGGTTTGGGGTTTGGGGTTTGGGTTTAGGGTTCAGAGTGTTGGGTTTTCGGGTTCAAGGTTTGGGGTTTGGGGTTTTAGGTTTTGG